CAAAAATATGTATGAATAATACAAACCATTAAATATTATATCACATTAATTTTATTAGAGAGATTATATATGGTAGATATAAAATATAAAATATTAGTGATTAGACATTACTTCATGCTAATTTTTTCACGCCGAACAATTTTTAATTGAATGTGTGACAACATGTTTTATATTTTCAAACTGAACAATTTTTAATTGGACAGCTTCCTATTATATGTGTGACAACTTTTAAGGTAGTAAATTTTTATATATATATATATATATATATATATATATATATATATATTTTACAATATATTTATATTTTGTGTATACAAAAACAAAAAATCAATTTACTATACAAAATTTTGAAAATTTTCCTTTTAAAAACAATTGACAAAAAGAATACCAACAAAGGAAATTGGTGTATATCTTAAAAAAAAATGTATATATCTCATATAAAATCGTTCATTCTCAAAATCTGCTATAATGAAAAATATATTTAAATATTAATATAAATATATTTAAATATTAATATAAATTTATATTTTGTAATTGTTGGTTCTAATAAATATGATAAAATAAAAAAAAATCCTCACAAATGAGAATTCCAAAATTGACGCCTTGTAAACTTAAATATTGCTATAAAATTGTTTTTTTTTGTGTGTGTATGTAACACATATGCTAATCCAAACCAATGATTCTAATAAATCTGTTAAAATAATAAAGAATCCTTGATAAATAAGAGTTCTAAAATCGACTACATATATTTATTTATATAATCTTTGCCTACAAAACTACTATCAATGTAATTAAAGAAAACCAAGAATTTACTAAAATAAACACAAACCGAAAATCGAGTTATATGAAAATTATTCAATTAATGATTTATTTTTTATTTAGATCATTTATATTATTTCCATCTATAGTAGGTAATTAATGATTTGAGCGAAAAATGCTCATAAAATGTTCGAGTATGAAAAAATCATATGTTATTAAAAACCTAATTGTAAACAATATTATTAGTTTGATTATTGGGCACACTACAATAAAATGATAAAATTCCAATGGAAATCTATTCCAAAAGAAAGTATTCCAACAGATATTTCAATACCATTATTTTCGTTGGAAATTTTCAATGGATTCCAACAGAAATTCCAACAAAAATATTCTGTTGGAATGAATTTTCCATTGGAATTTCTGTTGGATTTTGATGATTCCAATGGTGGATTTTTCAACGGGGTGGAAATAAAAATTCCAACGGAATTTGCATATTCTAACGGAAATTCCTACGGTAAAAAAACCATTGGAAATATAGCAGTTGAAATCATCAAATTTCTAAGATTGACATTCACTCTTGTTTATCATCATGACAATATAAATGAATGTTTATCTAAAAAACTTGATCTTTGAAATAATGTAGTGATCGTGTGTTATTTTATAATTTTGTGATTGATGGACTCTTTTATTAATTAGTTGGTTTGAATCAACATATAACAAAATTTGTTGCCAATCGTTATTAGAGTTTTTATATTAATTTGTGTAAATGCATAAATAAAAAGAGACCTAAACTATGAAAAAATTTTCAACTTTTGAAATCAAATAAATAACAAACACTATCTTTTAAAACAAATAATGATAATGATTATAACATTGTATTATCAAAACCGATAAGGTATATAAAATTCGTTTTCCTTTTCAAATCGATAATGAAGAAAAAAGTCTAATTGGTGAAAAGATAATATATACAAATCATGATTTTAGAAATCTGATATATACAAATCTTAGCATGCGGCTTCAAACAATATAATAATATAATAATAGGCTGAATGAATTATGATTCAGATTCATGCGAAGAAAATTTTGAATAGATTTCTAAAATCATGATATATACAAATCATGATTTTCCTTGGAGATTTATTCGGATTTCCAATTGTTTGGAAATCACGATTTCTACAATCATGATTTATTTGTATTTCCAAATTGTTTGAAAAAATAAAAGATTTATTCGGATTTTGATTCCTTATTGTTTACCAATATAAAAGTATCTATTTTTAGGAGATAATTAATGAAAGTAGCGGGGAATTGTTTCCAAATATGATTTATGTTAATCCTTATTATATAGGATTAACATATATGTTAACATATACGTTAACATATAAATAACATATATGTTACTTTCACGTAAATACTAATATATATATATATATATATAATTATTTCTAACAATTATTAGAAATATGATTGATTTTTAAAATGAATATTTAATTGACAATTATTAATTAAATATTTTATATTGTATTTATTTTTTTTTTAAAAAACACGTATGGTAAGTATATTTCTTAAATTAAGTGTATTAAGTATGGTAAGTGTATTTCTTAGATTTATTTTGATTTTGATTCCATATTATTTATTGTATTCCTAAAAAAATTTGGATAAAAAAGATATGCTAATAAATAGAGATTTTGTCAATTTACTATTGTTAGTCAGTAATTAATGAAATTGGCGGGAAAGTATTTCTAAAAGTGAATTATGTTAATCCTTATTATATATTAATAGATTATTATTATTATTATTATTATTATTATTATTATTATTATTATTATTATTATTATTATTATTATTATTATTATTATTATTATTATTATTATTATTATTATTATTTGTTACACAATATGTGTTTTGAACTACAACGGGAAC